TACGTGGGTTTGTGTTACCTAAATTAATGCACTACACAAATTTAGGAGCCATAACAAGCAGCGATCTCAAAAACTACGAGCAACTACGAGGCTGTCGCCGCTAAAGGCTTTGAGGTATTGTATGCTTTTCTCAGGTCTTTTCAGTGTTTGGACGAAGAAATGTTTATATTTTCATGAGACCGCGTTTGGAATATATGATTGAAGCAGTTAGTCCTTGTTTCAAGTATGAGACTAATATGCTGAGACGAGTATGGCAACCAGGAACCAAAATGGTTAAAGATCTATCTTATGAAAACAGACTGAGACACCTTAACTTATTTCAGTTATCGTACCGTAGAATACAGGGTGATCTAATATTAGCTTATAATACACTGAACGATGACCTTGGTATTATTATGTCTAATTTTCCCCTTTTTCTTGAACTGTTAATTGGAGAGGACATTCCAAGAAAGCTCAAGAACCGAGATCAAATCGTCTGCGTCTGGAGTTCCGTTTCTCGCACCGAGTAGTGAATTGCCGGTATTCTTCACCAGAACACGTAATATCAGCGCTTTATGTTAATGTGTTCAAAGAAAGGTTGACACTCCAAGATGTTTCAAACTGCACGGATTAATATAGATCGATAAACCTCTCTAATACTGAAGACTGAATTTATTGAGCATTGAGTTTTGGGTCAAATTCGCCCTTGCCAGTTGACGAATCTCAAGGTTATGCCATAACACGCAACCCTTTGGTGTGTTTACATTTTCTCACCAGAAACGTTGTTGGTCAATATTTTTTAAATTTACATATGTTAACTGTACACTAAAGTTAAGAGTTGTGTCACTTAGTGATCTAACTTGTTAACAGGTATCAGGATCAGTGTACATGTTGACACGCAAACTGCAATAACCATGACAGGTGAAGCATCAGTGCATTCAGTCTTTTCCCATAATAATCTGTGTATAAAAGTCAGCCGTTACCTTAGGATAAGGCATTAGTACCGTCCGGTTGCTGCTAAATTGTGTAGAACTGTACGGGCATCATAGCACTCACTTCATAGTGAGCTTTCACTCAATTAGATACAAATGTGTTCATCATGGCTTACACAGCCGTAAGGAAGTTTTATTTAAAAACTACGTATTTGCGGCAAGCACGTGCTTGAAAGATAACACCAAGAAAAAGTACGGGAATAAAGTTTTGGGTCATCTATCATCTGTATTTTAGTCTACGAAGTTGAACCTCTTTACTTAATTTTACGGCAGGCTAAGAGGTAGTCTGATCTGGAAGTATGGAGTGCTAAGTAATAAACTCGTTCATGGTGTCTACTCTCCTCTTCTAACGGGTTCAGAACAACTCACTGAGTAAATAAGGGATGTTAAAGTGTAAAGTCCAGTAAAATATCCGTAGCGTATTGGCTTTCCCTCAAAGTAGTCAGCCAGTAGGACTAACTGCTCGAAAAATTGATGTCCTCACTCTTGATTGGCTCGCTTAAGAGATTAGCAGACACTCAGAACCTTACGAAAAACGGACAGGCCCTCGGCCTTTTGTCGTTTAAATAAAATGCTGGAAATCAACCATGTGCCAAGATACACAGTCACTATCGGTTTGAGCCAAGAGAGATTTTCGGATATTTGTCAATGTTTACAGAACGACAGATTAAGGGTTAGTGTTTAGAATATGACTATTGATAAGCTGTGGGGATATTTGTTTTAACTTCTTATGGTTTACCCGCGTGTCAAATTTTGTTTTTCAGTTTTCTTTAGTCTACAGTCTGTCCGAGTTTGTTCCATTTTAAACTGGTATACTATGACAAGTAGGGGTCCTTAGTGTTTCACTCTCAATGCAATCCCATTTGTTCTCCTTAATGACAATTTTAAACTCCATATCTGAGGTTGTAGGGTCGCTTCTATGATGTCAAGTAGAGGATTTCTGGGTTGCCTGGTTACAATTAATTACTTAGTCATCAGGTCATGGTGACCTATTGTTGAACTGTCTATTGGATCCATAATCGACATGTAAATAACTAGCTGTAATGCAACCGGTTACAAAATGTTCAAACCACAAATACAAGTGTTTTTCCAAGCAGATTCAGTCGCCAGTAATAAGGATAGTAGGTCGGTGGACATGTGTTATTCCTTTATTTGTTTTTATTTATTTAAATACAAAAACATTGGTACAGGAAGGCACCATAAATCATTCGATTTGCTTGAGGGCTGGAATACTGTCCGGGTGCCCAAACCGAAACAGGTGAAGTTGGATTATTTCTTGCAGCTTGCTTCCAGTGTAGGTCCAGCTTCGTGAAAATGTTCATTAATGGTGCTGATACCATTTGTTCGTGTAAGGCGTTCCAGTCGTTGACCAATCGATGAGAAAAACAGAACCCTACTTTAAATTAATTGGGTTGCAATTTTTGAACCTTTTAGCTATGGCCTCGAAGAATATTAGTGCTGGAGGGAGCAAAATAATAAGACATATTAATACCCAAGTCTTTAAAGATACCGAATGCTAATATAAGGTCACCCCACGTTCTACGATGTGATAAGGAGAACAGGTACAGGTGTTTCAAGCGCTCATCATGATGAGTTCGAAAAGACTCTTCACTACCTTTTTTCCCTCTAGTGTGTCAGTATCCTTAATAAGACATAGACCGGTTATTTGGATACAGTACTCTATGTGTGGTCTTACATAGATGGGACATAAAATCCGAAAAATATCCTCATAGCATTTGAATTCTCGGCAAAGCGATCATAAAGCTCGGAAACCTTTGGCAGCTGCTGCGTTGCCATGCTCATTTGTAACAGTAAAACTAAGAACCACTTATAAACAAATGTGCTAAACTAATGTGTACATGCCAAAGGTTTCTAGGATATTTCTGGGAAATCTTTAAGTTCATACAGGTTTTTGTTTAAGGTTTACTACTGTGAGGGTCGCTGGTACACTAGCTATTTATGTCTGCATTCGTCATACAAGTAGTAAAAGGTTCCAAAATGTCTTCTGTATTCCATACATCGGAGATGTGGAGGTCTTCAGAATCCGATTCATAACCAAAACAGATAGAAAAGAGTGAAAGTAGACAGCCTTATCTGACATCAGGGCGTAGAGCATCTTTGCAGCTACCTCTGTGCTTGACTTCAATGCTTTAGGTGGCATGCTGTTTGTTCCTGGTGCTTTGGCATTCTTAACTTTTCGATAGCCTTGGTGATTTCTCCGATTGTTCGTGAAGTAACATTTATAGGGTGGTCTCTTTGTGGTACATCGGCGTCTGGTCTGTTCAGTGGGTTAGTTTTTTAAGAGTTCTTTTAAGTGCTCTACCCACGCGTTTTGCTGCTCTTAAACTTCAGTGGTTGGTTTGCCTTTAGTCTTGACTGGTCGCTTCGGTTTACTATATTTTGATGATAGCTTCTTGGTTGCAGTATATGACTCCTTCATGTCACCCTCTTCTGCAGCTTTCTCTGTTGTCGTTGATAGGTGTTCTAGATAGTTCCGTTCGTCAGCTCTATTACTCACTTTCACTCGTTTGCTTTCTTTTGTATATCCGGCCTGCGTCATGACTTTCTCTGCTCTCGTTTTGTTAGTGTTGATAGCTGTTTTCTTGTTTTTCCTATCTTGTGGCCGCGGAGGTGTGTTGGCAACAGGCTGTCCTCGAACGCGCAACCTATCCTTTCTCCCTGCTTCGGTTTGAGCGCCCGGTCAGTATCCCACCTCTCACACAAATCAAATAATTTGTGTGGCGCATATATATTTGATGCTTCGTACCAATGTTTACGTTTAAATAAATGAGAAAATTTCGAGTCTTATCTAGTGTATTGATAGAGATTTACTCCTTGTGTTGGTGCTTCTTGTGGCCCAGCACCTTCTGACGTGTTGACGTCATTGATCCTTGTTCTTTATAGTGTTTTTCTCTTCTAGTAAATCTTGTAAGGATTGGGGTGTTACTGGTCCAATTTTCTAACGCTTCTTTTGTTTGGACATCATCGGTTCATGATCTGAGACTAAATCAGCTCCTCCTTGTCCTTCAGTCTTCCACGGACCTTCTGGATTTTTTATTGATGGAGATTTTGATCTTGTTTTCTCTAGTGTGTTCCGGTAAAGCCCATTTAACTTTATGCGTGGGACATGGTGCCACCTGTGAGCATGCTGTTGGGGTTACATAAACTTACCAGTCTTGCGTCATTCTCGTTTCTTTCTCCTAGTCCATGTCGTCCCATAGCATCTTCACACTCGATGTTGCCCATTCTGACCTTAGAGTCTAGGTCTCTCATCAGGAAGGTCATATCCCTTTCCTGGGTATTTTTCTACACTGAACTACAGCCTCTCATAAAAGTAATCTTTGTCATCATCACTGATACAATTGGTTGGTGCTTAACACCGGATGACTTTCATTGTAATGTCCTCGTTTGCTTTGAATGGTGGTTTAATGATCCTTCATCTATGCGTTTCTAATCCTGTAAATACTTTCGTGATTTGGACAGCATCATCTCAACTCATATATGGGGCACTTTCTTCGCCATTACCAAAATACGACATCTTACCGGAAACTAGTATTTTCTGCCCAGCTTGTGTGCAATCAGTTCTCATAATTTCAAGCGTATTGAGGTTATACTCTCATTTCCAATGATATTTGAATGGTTTTCCCTGCCTCCCACAGTGCCTGGGCATTCCATATACTTATATTAGTTGTTGGTCAGATAAGAAGGGATATATATATATATATATATATATATATATATCGATTTGATCGATTACGATGATATAACGTTGACAAGGTCAACTATAACAGACTCACCGATCACTTTGTGATGATTGCTGAAACCTACTAATCAACCTGTAGGTCATCTTCTCAACCTGGTTGAGGCGTATTGCGTTTTTAATTCTTCACATAGAAAAATTTGGTCGCTATTTGAATATGTTTGTCGTCCTTAACGAATAAACTTTATGATTTACACATAACTTTGTATTTTAGCTGGATTGTCTATGTCGACACAGGATTGCATCAATAGTTTTACAGTTTCCCGATTATGAATCGTGATACTGCAACAAAAGATAGTGTTATTGGAGGGTTTACAGTTATAAATGAGAAAACAAAATCAAAAGTACAAAATGTAGGTGAACTGTATATATTAATTTTGATGTTTATCCGATAGGTCCAAGAAGTTCTCCCCTTTTGGATTACAAAGCCTGAACTTTTCTCATCTGATCTTAAACAATCTCTTTCTGTCAATGATGTAGCTAAGCTTGGTCAGTTTCTACGGCTGCGACTAAGTGAAATTGGTATCACTCATTTCTTTCCTGGTACTTAGCTAACTTTCTAATCATCAGCTGGCGGTTATAGTTCAGTCTGCTGTAATCCCTTACATGTTAGATTGCTATGTCACATCTAAACATCGGCCATTATGTCGGCCAAGAGACATATGTATATGCGCACCGACAGGAAGTGGGAAAACACTGGCCTATTCTGTGCCAATCATCCAAGTACCATTTGTCATTTTTGTATTTTCACTTAAATAAGCTATTTCTTAATAGGGTTCATAGATTTATTCGAGCGTTGGTCATTGTTCCAGTCAGAGACTTAGCTGTTCAAGTGTACAAAACCTTCAGTCAGCTGGTTAATGGAACAGATATTCAGGTTTGAAATGTATTCTATATTTTGAATGAATGTATAGGTTGGAGTTCTTGCTGGTATCAAAAGTTTTAGTAAAGAACAAGAAGATATCATAAACCTGTAAGCTTTGTAATTATTAGATTGAATACCAATTTCAGTACGGATGAAAGTTACTCTGCCAAAGTTGATATTGTAATAGCTACACCTGGACGTTTAGTAGACCATTTGTACAATACTCCTGGTTTCAGTATGGAACGCTTGAGAATCCTGGTACGTTTGAATTGACTCGTTAATCTACCTGTTATTGTATTTTCATTTTCCTGCTTGTTCAGTAGCAAATATTGGAACCACATTCCACATATTAAATTGTGAGCAGCCATTAGTACTATTGACCTTAAGCGTAACTCTGTACATTTACGTCTACTATTAAATTGCTTCTAAAGTATTTATAACTCTTAGCACTGCTGTACTTGCTAAATCAATGTTTGTAGATTTAAATGTTAACCCCTGGACTGGGTGGTGAAAAGGCAAATGCTACCTTGAAAAGCCATGACTTTATTTTTTTAAAATTATCAAAATGATTTTCGTACATGAAGTTCCTATATAACTATTAAAATGTGAAAGAATTTACCAGTAATTTATTCGAATGTAGATTGAAATCAGTGCTACTAGCATAAAACTGGTATTTTACCATTTCACCCGCTAAACCCTGAATAAATTATTATTTTAGACGTATTTGTTCGTCGTATGAGATCGTTTGTGTTCTTTTTTGTATTATATTACTCACATACAGAAGCTTCAACGGATATATTATTGTGTTAGATTGTGCACATATTGATCAGGATTGATTTACAATTAACTATGAGGTCTTATGGTGGTATTTTATTAAATATCTGTTTACTATATTGTATGTTAGGTAATCGATGAAGCCGATCGAGTGATAGTGGAAGAAAAACAAAATTGGTACCATACTTTGGAGGATGTATTGTACTATTACACATCTTCAATCAGTCAGAATAGTTGGTCCAATGTCTCTGTACGCAAACGTTCAAGACCTATACCAACTGTTGGTTATCATTACGATAGGAGTGTTGATATCACTCTGCAAAAGGTTAATGGTTTTATTATGATATGAACTTGCTCTTATACTCATTACATTTGTAATAATTACATAGTTTCACCATGTTTTCTCATTAAAAAAACATTTTAGTGATATGGATCGGTGTCTCAGTGTGCTGATGGTCACTGTGTGGACCATTTTGTATTTTACCTTAGATTAAATTATGATTAAAATCCTATAGTAAGTAGTCTATACTTAGCTTACGAACACAGTTTGCTGACGTTTTTTTTAGCAAATGATATTATGTGGTATGACATACTTGATTAACCTTAGCGATTATTCATGTCAGTTTTTAAATTAGTAATTAACTCCTGACGAGATTTTTGAAGATTTACTTCCTGGAAGTCAGTTACTAATAAGAGTATATATATATATATATATATATATATATATATATATATATGCGTGTATGCGCCACACAAATCATTCGACTTATGTGAGGACTTTGATACTGCATAGGCTTCCAGACTGAAGCCAGTCGTTTACTTACGGATCACTCCTCGTTCCTTTGACCTAAAGGTCTAATCCACAAAGCAGTGGAGCAACGTCTGGAAACGTAGTTCCATGGTAGCTGATGACCAACAATAGGTTCATATGCCAATTGTTCCCTCAAGATCCTAGAGCTCATAAGCACTATTGGTTTTAAATCAGAGTTTTCTAACTCCCCTAGGTATATCCTCCATATCCACCAACCTGGTTAAAGCGCCGGACATTCGCTTTTCGTCCTGTCAGCTTGGTAAACAACACCTCTCGTCACGAGAAGGTAGTGAGTAGGACTTCCCTGGCAGTGGCTGTATACACGTGGCCATGTGAGAGCATTTGGAGAGGGGAGCTGACTCTCCCCACCTTCGACCGTATTCATCACTTGTTCTATGTAACGTTGAATGACTGGTCATGGCCATAAAATCTGAGATCTAGAGGTACTATTATAAAATCTCTTTTCTTGTACGAAATTTGAGCGAAATACTTCAACATTAAAGTGAAATTGTAACAGAATTAATAGATATCTCTTGTAAGGAAACACAAATTATAACATACAGACTATTGAGTTAATTGTACTTCTTTTAGCTTCAGGCATCATTTCCGATTCAAATAGGTATTTCTCTTCATTTTTGCTTACTTATTCGTAGCTTTAAAATGCATTCACTGAGATCAAGTTCAAATGAATGTGACTCGCATAAACCTCAGAATCCAATTAGAGCAATCTCATAATTCTATAAATGAAACTTTAAAAGCCAAAAAATTACATTCCAAAAACTTAAAAATTCAGTTTTATGAATATATTTAGAACAATAAGAAGTCTTTTTCCTTTCTTGGGTCTTATGTATTAAGTGTATCTTATACTTTTCCCGCGAAACTTTCCTACTACCACTTATACTTTTACTGATGATTCTCTGGAATTTGTCTTGAATACTTCATCTCACTGTTTTGATATATGGTTTGGTAACTTAAACCGACTTGTCGCGTTTCGCGTTGCTTATGACTGAACGATTAAAAGATTAAATTTTATTAGTTTGATTCACTAACAGATGGGTCAAAACAACCACTCATAAAGTAAATAGTTTACAAATACAGCACATTAATGTATACAAATTGAGTGATGAAACAAGTAGTATAATTTACACACAGCAAATAAAATTACTTAGGGAAAACAATAAAGCATTCTTTTTCCCACTCGATATGAATAATTCAATATCATTTTTCTCATTTTATCCCACCTTTCTTTGTTTCCCCTTTTTTTGGTGTAACTTCAGATACTTGTTTCTGCCACACTGACTCATGATCCAGAACCATTAAAACAGTTTAATTTACACTTTCCTATTTTATTCACTTCAAATCGAATACACCACAACAAAAACAATCTTGATGCAGTTTTAAATGATCACGAAAACGAAGAAACTAATTCGTCCGAAATAAAAAAGCAAGTGAAAAATGATGAAAATAGAGAAATCCCTAATGTTATTTCACAGTTAAAATCAAGTGAAAATCATACGACTACAGGTGTTGGTCAGTTTTTAATCCCTGAAAGTTTAGAGGTAATCTTTACAATCATTTTCCTCTGAAGGTAGATTTATTCATTTTTCACTTGTAGTTTAACTGTATTATATAAAAAATCAGGAATAACTATTTAGTGAAATATGATTTCTTACACTGTCAAAGATATTTATATGTAGAGAATCTAAAAGATAGATTCAAATATTTTGAGTTCTAACTAATCACTCAATAGTTACATGGCTTTGTCGAAGTGCACACCATTTTTGAATAAGATGGATCTGATTAAATGTTGTATGGTGGGTTACATTTGAACATTTGCACTCCGTATAAAGACAGAATAACATTCTGGACACGGATATGAAAACTGGAATCAGTTTTCGGTAATGGATACAACATATGTTGGTGATAAGGTATACCCGTTTTCTAATCATCAAATGATGTTCATGCTGTACAAAAATTCAGCATATCTTACATAATAGATGTGGAGCACAACACAAAATATTGAAAATATGTCAGCTGTTATTATTTACTCATTGAGGTCTTCGAAGTATTCCCCGTGTCTGATAAAACTACCAAGTAGTAAATTAGTTAAACATTCATCTGCGGAGTTGATTAGGACTTGTGGTAGGTAATTTTATGGCGGATTTAAAGAAGACCAGAGGTGACCAGACCAAACCTATACTATCAGTTCAGGAAGTTGTTAACTGTTGGCTTGAACTGCTTCAAACAAGTTTGCATAAATGGTTACTTATTCTGATAATATTAATACGATAATTGTGATAACACTTAACTACAATTCGATGCCATGATTCCACAGCTTTTTTCTCTCATACCCCCAGCTACTCCAAAAGACGAGATTTGTAAGGAAGATTTGTTCAGTAGGGACTAAAAAAGATTAATTCGCTTTGAATTCATTCTATTATATACATTATCAGTTAAAGTAATAATCACACAATTCGTATGGTTTAATTTTATACTTAGTGAAAGTCAGTTGAACGTAAATCATGATCTTATGCTTTACCTCTTCTCGAACATCTATAAGGAAACCGATGACCAAGGTTTGATTTTGTTTAACTCTGAGATTTATTCCCTACTGATGAAATTATGATACAATTGTTTGACCGTATATATTTTCAAAACATTTCTCAAGTTTTGATCGTTGAAATTAAACAAAATTATTGGCAGAGAAAGCAAGTCTGTAATTAAAGCTACGAGTTGACCGATTTAGTTGTCAGTTATTAGTGTTTCAAGTCCCTAAGTGATATAACGCAAAGCAGCTCCCTGTGTCACAAACGTATTCTACTCCTCATCTTCTTTTAAACCCCTGGGCATTTCATTACTCAGTATATTTTTTCTCCACTCATGTCATTCTATTGTAAAATTACAGCGATCTTTATGCTTAAACGCCCAGATACTGAATTCCAAATCGTTTCATAGTCCCTAAAAGTGTCCAACCCTTAAATCCCAAAGATAAAGTACAGAAAAAGCTTTTCTTCGAAGGTTAAATTACGTGCAAAAACGATAATATTCGTGGGCTTGTGAGTAACCGTGATATTCTAGAAGTTTTTACGAAAAACGGCAAAAGCGATTATATATTCGGTAATCTAATCAGAATAAGGAAAGCGTAACTAATTACTATTTAGATTTTCTTTGAAAGCTCCCAAAAATCACTCATTGGTTGAAGTGATGTAATCATTTCCCCTAGATTTTTGGGGGATCATCCCAATGAATTTAGTTATTTAAGTCTTCCGTTTTATCTTGTATTCTAATTGTTGGTATTTCTACAGTAGTTTTCATAGGAAGTATATGAACATTTAGGTCGTTTTGTTAATAGAACCTGCCACTCACTTGTGTAACTTAATTGATACGATCAACTGTATAAAATAACATTTTCATGTATTGTGATCATTGCTATTGATCACTAGATGTATTCAAGATTTCCTATAGATTTTATTTCTCAGTTTCACTGTCTACATATATTAAACGTATAAAACTAAAAAGATACCTGATTTTCATTGCTTGTTTATTTTAAACTAAAGGAATTTCTTGTAACTGCAAAACCGGATATCCGTGTATTGTTTCTTGTGTATTTGGTGCGTCAAAAACACAAAAAACGTATCTTATGCTTTGCAAATACAGTAGATTGTGCTAAACGCTTAAATATACTCTTGGCTAGCTTTCAAGGTATAAAGAGTAAATTCTTGTCAAGTCATTTACATCCGGATAAACGTCAAAGAATATTAAATCTATTCAGTGTTGGATTGTGTCAAGTAAGTGAAGTAATAGCTATTGGTAATTGTTTTCTTTGTGGCAAATTTATTACCAGACTCTACATTTGAACTTTTTATCACTACTAAATACCTTCTATTGTAATGTATTTAATTGTGTAAATTTTTGTACAAAATTGTTACTTTTCGTTATTGTTATTCCCACCCAACCCCATAGCTCTTCAGAGAGGGAAGAACTTTGAAAAGACAATACGACTGAACACCGGAGAAAATGTGTATATAGGGATTATGATATCAGTAGCATGGGAAAATAACTTGTCCCATACTATGTAGTGCAGATGTATTAATTTTAGCCTACAGTACACTTTCTCAAGCTTTTATGCCAACCAAAAGCTCTGATGAGTTAATAATAAGTTCACTGGTGTAGAAGCGTAGAACTTTTCCCAAGGATGCTGTATATGCAATATGCAAATGCAGATATCAGAGATATATACATTCCAGTGATATGCATATAGGCATAGATGGACGCTATCGTTAGTATACACCATATGCAACCGTAGAATGCATATATAAGTTCACTTATTCCACAATGAATATAGGCATAGACGTTTCCGATCGCTAGTATACGATACATGCACACACAGAATACCTAAGCCAAGGCCCATATACTCCATAGAGTACATATGTGCAATCACCCCAGGCCGTAGCCCCATTGCATTTTTAACTGAATGCATATCCAGTATTCATAAATGATGTGCTCACTTCATGCTTGTCACAAGCAGGCTTAGTGTATAACCCTGTGCACTGGTTACAGCACAGTTTTTTGCCTACTCTCTGGCCCGCCCTTCCAGACGAGTCTGTTCAGGCACCAAAAGGAGGTTTTTCTCTAGTTCCACAATCACACTGTCAATTCAAGTCTATCTCTCTTCTCATGTAATCAAGATTAAGATAGAATGTGTGATTAGCTTGATCTCCACCTGACTTATGCAGAGTGGGTGGTCAGTCCGATCTCCGCTGTGTTTGTTGAGTAGTTCTTGTGGAGAGCACCACGTGTTTAAAACTCGGATATAAACTCCGGATCTTCAAAAAAGGGGAGGTGTGTTATGTCCCGACAAGAATAATGACTGGTAAATTTTGGGATCCATTATGGACAAATACTAAACGTAGGCTGAGACCGGTGTTCTGGACTTAACTGGTCACGTACTGCAATCTCACTTTAGAAATTCCAGTATGAACATTTAATATCTTAATATCTTAATTTCTTCTCTTCACCATATCCACACATAATCTGGAAATAGAAATACTTGTTGATCAAAACTTTACCAGACCCGGAAAAAAAAGATTAATATGACGGGACAGTAACTGTACATAGTCATTGGGATTGGAATCATATGTTGACAAACATAAACGTCATCTAATCGTCAGAGAACTAATGAGATCGATTAAAGATATTTTATGGGAGAATAAATACTAAGTTCTTATTTTTACAAGATTATATATAGAAAGAAGTTTACTTTGTTTGTTATTTTGCGGGATATAAACCCTACCCTCATACATTAATTTCTATTCATTTCCATTTTTTAAAAATCATGCTTGCCATCCTTTCTCTACTTGTTCATGATCTCATGTTCTTATTGTGTGATGCATATATATATATATATATATATATATATATATATATATATATATATATATATATATATATGGGTTAAGTTTAGACGTGAAGGTCCTGGGTTCGATTCCTCATGGGGTAGTAAATACATTTTACCTACAGTTTGTCATGTTTGGTATAATGACATATCATTTAGATAGTTCGGGTGGGGTATGTTTGATTATTTTTTGTTTGAAAAACTGTCAGTGAAATATGATAAAGTTTATATAGTTAGACAATAAAATACTTTCCAAACAAAGCTTGAGGGTAAATAAACAGTCCAACCTGAGTAAAAGAATTTGTAAATGATTTACATATTTAAAAAATTTGACATAAGAATTTACATTTTGTTTTATTACATATTCCATTTTCATCGTAAAAATTTCAAAACATTTACAGATTCTGGTTTGCACAGATTCTATGGCTCGTGGCATAGATATTAATGATGTGGAATGTGTCGTATCTTATGATGTACCACCTAGTATCAAAATCTACATTCATCGAATTGGGCGTACAGCTAGAGCTGGTAAGAAAGGAACTGCATACAGTTTATTGTCAACTAACCAGGTAAGCAAATGACTTTTTTTTCCTTAAGTGTTCTGAATATCTATAGTTCCTTTACTGAATGCCAACTTCGTATATTGTGCCTACATAGTAGATTATGTTTTATCAGAGTGAAATACATCTGTTTCGGGGCAATGTTTTACATTAAATTGCTTGTTGAATGAACTACTATCTAGCGTTTACCTTAGTTCTCTATTCTTGTTCGTGTATCTGATATCAAGTGATCTAGTCTCTGTATTGTATACCGTTTATGTATCCGATTTAGCGTAGCGTATTATGCTACAGAGAGAGGAAAAATTTAAACCATCCGTTATATCAGAAAACTTGGACCTAGGTTTCGTGCCAACTGACACTCGTCAGGAAGGCGTACCAGCAATCTTAACGAAACCGTCGCTTCTTCTGGAATTCGAACTCGCATTACCCAGCCCCACACTTTAAGATGTTATCACTGAGCTATTCGGGCTTCAACCAATCTCCTGTAGGACTAAGATATATACAACTGACTGTTCGTGAGTAGTGACCAATCAATTTTATGTTCGTTTTCTTCCTTTTTTATTCTTGTCAAATTCACTTTTTCCCAATTTTTATTGATTGTTGCCATTGTTATTAGTTCTATCACTTTAAAAAAGATCTCAAGCGTGCTGGTAGAAAAAAAATTAAACAATTACAATTTCATCAAAGTAAATGGTCACATTTCAATGCAGAGTATCAGGTTGCATTAAGGAACTATGAAATGAACATGAAGGTAAGGCTAATATTGAATTTTAAGTTTGTTTCTTTTTCGAAAGCATTTTTTAAAAAATACAGTTCGGTTTGATTAAATTATAGGCATAAAAATGCATAAAAGCAAATTGTAAAATGCAATGCACAATATATATATATATATATATATATATATATATATATAATATATATTAATATATATTATATAATAATTATATTATTATATATATATATATATATATATATATATATATATATATATATATATATATATATATATATATATATGATCAGTGATTGTCAATGCATGGTCATCAATTCATTAGTTGACTTACTTTCATGATATAGCTTGACAATACAATGAGATCAGCTTAGCTACGAGTTCTTGAAATAACAAATGTATCCTTTTCTTTGCCCACCCACCTCAATTAATTAAAAAGTCGAGTTGTAAATAAAACGCCTATTTATGATATAAACAAATTGACCAGGCTAACAACTATTTTTCATAAATAAATACACTTGTAGTAGATCTTTATTATGACACGCTTACGCGATTTATCTTAACTTGTGGATAGCTGAATTGGTCTGAACCTCCACTTATTTCATCATTTGTATATGTGATCTTGATACATGCTTATAATCGTATGTATATGTCTTATTTTTGTTTGTATCTTTCATGCCTATAGATGCTGAGTCACGCTTGAGTAATCTAAGAAGCCTTACCCTATGTTGCGCTTCTTACGGTCTGAGTAAAGGAATGATCGGAATAATTTTCTCCAACTTGGTTCGTATTTAGCTATTTTTATACCACCGTCTCCCATACTGAGTTAGCCTAAGTGAAATATACTAAATAAAACGGTTTATTCAGCATCCTTCATTATTAAGTCAATATGTTCCCACACATTTACGATGCCTTCCGAAGTGTATTAAGAGAGGTACGAACTAGTAGGCCAAAAAACATTTTGATCGCAGTACTGAAACGTAACCTTGAAACTACTGAAAACAATAATGTACGTACTAACACAAGCAGTTTTGGGGATATCAAGTCATTCTTAACACCCCTCCTCAGTAAAACCTCATGAAGTATAGATTCCTATTTGTTGTGGCTCACAGTATCTAAGGCTTGGTATTGATGCACGTTTTCTGTACACGAGCCTGCCCACTCAAGAAAAAGAGATGGAGGGTGAAGAAGAAGGCTTATTTAACTAAGCAGAATCGATTGTATGTGGACTCATTTATATGTTTTTATTTGTCTCTTAGACAATCAAGCTTATCAATGGTTTATGTCTTATCCGTTGACAAAGAAAGACATTTCTTGACAATCGCATAGACATCGTTTGGCGATTTCTGATTGACTCACTGTATCACTAATCTTCTCGTCCAAATTAAATACTTATTCGAAAAGGATCTCCTATGATACAAATTTTGTACGAGGTTTTTTTTAACACCATTAGTATCCGGTATTGGTAATAATAGTTCAACTTAGTGTAATGTATTTTCAATTATTTTAAAGATTTCAGATAAAAAATACAACAATGATCTTTCAAAGCAAGTGAATAATAACAAACTTGTTTCGGAAGAATCAATGCAAAACATTAAGAAGCCGAAGAGTAAACGTAAAAAAAGTACAAATGAAATGCTGAGTTGAAATTAAACAACATAATTTTACTGTATATTATTACCAACATGACTCTACATGTATATAGGCATTACCTGTATAGTAACCCCAAATAGATTTTGTAAACAAATAAATTATTTGTTAAGAAGTGAAAATTGAGTTTTAACTTCATGTTACTGAGATATTTCGATATTCTAAAAAGAGTTTAATGTGTGCATGTATGTCAATGGTCTGGGTTTTATTTGTTTACTTGGTGAATTTTAATATACTTCTTTATTCTTGCTTACTTATTTTGTATAATTTGATATAGGATGGTTGTATTTCAACAGTCATCTTTGGTTATTTTAAGATGATTTACATTCCAATCCATATAGTACATGAACTATGGAATGGTTTTTCTGACACGAAACAATTTACATTATGTTAAGCAGACTAAATATGCAGTTAAATCTTACTGTATATGGACTTGTAAATTTAATTGAACTAATCATGATTCATAAACTCAATCACCTTGAGATATATATATTAAGCGAATTGTTTGATTAAACTTCAATTTTGTATATCACAAATAGTTTATCCTAACCAAATAATGTATTCAAGATAATAAATTTATAAATGTAGTTGAAAAGGTGTTTTAGAAAGTGGTCTAATTTGTAGATTCAAACACCTCAGGAATAAAACAGTTGTTACGAAAGGTATTAGATAATCTTTGCAAGTCACAATCTCGGTTGAATTTACGGGCATACGTTTTTGATGGAGCTTTCATCGTTATCCTGAACGACATCATCAGCACAAACTTCAGGTAGAAGTGAAGTATTCAAATCTGTTCACATGTGGTCCACAGCTTGTCCTGTACACCTCGATGTTGATCGGTTCTTGTTCACCTCAAACCAGTCATTGGGAGATACAACCAAAACAAAAAAGTAAACAATGACAGGTTAAAGGTCAACGAGAACCAATCAACATCGAGGTGTCCAGAACAAGTTGTGAACAAATTCGAACACTTCACTTCTACCTGAAGTTTGTGCTGATGATGTTGTTCAGAAGAACTATGAAAGCTCCACGACCAAACCATTCATCTCAGAGAACAAAACTCCATCAAAATCATCCATCTGAGCTACAAATCTTCTCCACCGGCATAAGTAACATAATCGTCGGAAATGGATCTAGACACTGACGACCCCTACCTATTCCTGCCATCTAGATATTTGAACAAGTTATCTGTTTTTTTTAACACATCATTGTCTATCAATCGCATAACCTATTCAGGCGTGTTTATGAAATGTTTACGACATTTCGCCTTATAAGCTACAAAAAAGTACAATTAGAGACAGTTTTCAACCATAGAAGTGTCATGTTTTAAGTTCACCAACCTCTGACATTCACTAGTCACTTCTTGTAGCGTTCTATTTGAACACTGTTCAATTTTACTCAGAATTCTGGTCCTGATATTGGTATCTTCAGGTGACTGCAAGCTGCATACGGAAACAAAACACTTAAACTGGTTTTCTGTCATTGATGATAATTTGAAAGACACACTCGCGATTTACTATGCCAGCATGTCGCATCCAGTCATTGTCTCCAGCTTTAGCCAACTTAAGACATTGGTAACGAATACTGAACAAAGATAACTGTTCACCAAAGATTTGCGACAAAGTTACAACTGTTGTATCAAATGAAAGGTCTCTGGAATTCTTAGGGTGAAGTAGTAGTACTCTGACCTTTGCGGTATCATCAAGTTTTTCTAGGTCGACCTTGGATACATCTTTGTATTTCTTGAACCACGATTCAAATTAACACCAGCCAAACCATAAAAATGAAACTCGTAGAGAGAATTAACGATATGGTCGACATGGGATTTGAACGGACCATCTGTAAACCCCTTTTGATTTAGATTCATTTGCCGAGTTAGAGCTTCTAGGATACGAATTTAGAACTGTTCGAAACGTTTTTCTTGACGCTCTAGCAAGGCTTGGAATTAGTCAAAGGTAAATGACATCTTGATAAGTTAACCCCGTCGCTAGTTGTTATATCTAAAACTTAGTTTCTTGTTATACCACGTACAAAATGAGCACTCGAACTCTAGAACCCCGCAGGTTGCAAATGAGAAGGCAGAAGATAAGTGAAAGAAATGCTATTCCAATCAGTATCAATTATGGTACAAAACTCAGGTATTTATAGTTTTTAGTAATAACGAAATCGTCACTATAGTCCCCCAATCCGTATACAGGGGGTTATTAGCATTTGTCCAATAGGGAAGCTACACGTCGTACTTCTGGAATGTCCTTCCAAAAGATGATTGTTTGGAATATCTTCAGCTCTTTCTCAGCTCCTTGGAGCTTCCTAGAGTTCACCCATGGGCTATCCTCACACTGGCGATATGAATTAAAAAGAATAAACATTATTCAGATGTTGATTCCTGAACTCCTAACATCTAACTTAACTGATTTTTAAAAAAATTAAGTAGCTTTTTTTTCTAATCAGAACTGATATGCATGTTTTCTTAACATTGTCTTCTTGATAAAATTGCTAGAATATAGAAGATATTTTAAAGGGAATGACTACTAGATTGCTTAAACCTTTGTTCAGTCGAAGTCACTGCTTCAAAGTAAAATCCACCTCACCATTTCCATGCTTAGTTTACTCCTAACACTTAAAATGTGTTGTGTTCAGATAAATTATGATTGTAAAAATGCTGGACGTATTCTTAGGTTGGATCACTTTGTTATTAGTTAGTCTTCCATTTAGTAAGTTTTGATGAACTCTTATGTATACAAATCTTTAAATTCACATATCCCACTAGCGTAATATAATCTCGAATCGGCTCAGTTGTCTATGTGCAGATCACTTTCATTACTAAACACCAATTTTCAGTGTATTCCATGTTACTCATTTCAAAGTTTCCAGATCCACATCAGACTACAACTACTGATTGAATGTGATGTCATCTTGATTGACGTTTCATTAAATATTATTTCACTTAATGTGACATATCGAAACTTCTTCACTGACTACAATTTGAACACATTCACACACCAAATGATTTATATATTAATGCTTTAAAAATCCGTATTCAATATCTTAACATGATTAGACAGTTGTTTAGTAAACGGTTATTTTTAACACTATATTCAATAATTTTGATCGTCTCCCTCAAGATTGCCGTGCTAAATCTCGGTTTCAGTTTTCTAAGTGTTTAGCGCGAAACTACTGTGAAACCATTCATTCTAATTTGGATAGAGGTTCTTATTTATCTTTGATCATCCACTGAGTCGTTCCGAAACCAGTTTGTTTCACATGTTAAGAGTGACCGTTTGTGTAATTCGTATTGTAGTCACTCCGGTTGGTGTAGGTTAAAAGTCCCATGTGAAAGAACCATTATCCGCCTGATATGGATTGTTTAGAGATCCAGTGTAATATTTCGCTCTCGGATATAATAAGAACCACTCTTGTTAACATGTCTGTAGCATTATTGGTTATAAATAATGACAGAATGTCGTTTCTATAATACTTAGTTATTTTCTTTTCAGAATATTACTATCGCATGTATTATTTCAGTACTGCCCATTTGTGTATTCTATATCCCGTTGTCTGAAGCAATGGCTTAACGGTTAGAGCTTTCAATGACTTTCAAATGACATGACTGCTTGTCTGAAATCCCACTCTACGTTATCCAATCAGCTTTCGCAGTTAGTGTTACTAACCTTCATACAAAAAGTATACCCCGAACCTGAGTGAATAAACCTGTAATTGATAAACCACTTACACTATTTGATATCTAGATATTTAGGTTTTAATTTTCTTAAGCTCATATGGGTTACTTAAATGGCGACTCTTCTCAGAGTTACCTTTAACTGGGGTTACTCAGAACTTAGCATGTAAATGTGTCGTAAATAAACTGATATCATGTTATGGATTATTAATGTTGGTAATACTAATTCTAACCTTCTTTTACATAGATATTTATTAAGTTAGCTATTATCTAATTCGAATTCCTTTCTATTTAAATTAGTTTCTTAATTAAAATCCGGATGGATTTATAAAATTGTCCAAAAACATGCAATCATTCTGAAAGTATGTGATCTCAGAAGCCAACATGCTTATTGTCGTTATTTTACAATTTATTAATGTTAAATCAGTTAGTCGTTCATTTTTTAACAAATTAAAATCCGAAATGAAACCATTCCAATTTAAAACTATTTTTTCACCATTGGGATACTTTGATAACTATGTACATCATAGTAAACGATAAGTGCATAAAAATCTTACTAAATTCGATGAATAATACTTGACTGTTGAATTTCATGGTTTGCATTGCGAACCAGTTTTAGTTTGACAACCGTTAAAAGCTAGGAGGAACTCAACAGCTGTTTCGTTCTAGCATGTGACTCTCATCAGTGCATATTTATAACCCCCCAGGAATCGGACTCTGAACATTCCGATATCCCTGTGAGCTCTTCGATTTTATTTCACGAAGTTGACTTCGGACAATTTACATTTCTAATTCCAGTTAATATTCAATATTGGTGTGGTCGTGGATTTTCACTGCCAGTAAATCCCATACTAGGATGAAGCTCTTTGTCCATTATTTCCTGGTTTTGAATAATATACTCACCAAAGTCAGTCTGTGGTGTGAAACGTCAAATTTGTAGTTGAACCTTAAGCTAATATGTCATCTTATGGATGATGGAAGCTCATGCAGTTAAATAGAAACCTATGAGTCAATAAACATTCAAGTACTTCTTTACATTTGTATCAAAGTTGTTATTTTAAGGTTGGCATTCACATTAACGCTTTAAAATAAATGTTTATCGATGATCCTACTCGTCACTTTTCCTACGAAGACATCATTACAATGGGAAATATGTATACACAGCTATATCTATTACATAGTGTCGTTATTGTGGTTATAGAGCTATTTTCTGGGGGAGATATTAAAAGTCCTTTTTAAACTCTGTGGTGAAATAAGTAACATGTCCAAGCAAAGTCAAAACATCCATCATATTACCCAATACCAACGGCATCATAAGCTCACTATATAGTAAAAATATGACTTGAATTATGTGCTACATAGAGGAATCTGTGATTACAATATACTGAATTTATGACGCTTCGCCTCTAATATATATTTGTAAAACCAACTACTTAACCCAGACTTTTACACCTCTCATCACACTTATTGTTCAATATTCAATAATATAAAATTGTCCTGTAAGAATTTATTTGTAATTCATACTTATTCAGTCAGTAAATAGTAATTTTTATTTTTACCATTATTACCTAGCAAATTTGATTAAACCGCTATCAGCCTTGTAAACTGACGTGTAATCTAAAGTAACTTTCAGGATATTATATATTTATATACCTTTATTTTTCATTTGTAATTTATTTGAATTAGACAATGGTTATTCAAATGTTAATACTGTGTATAGTTTCAATTCTGTCATTTGCCTACGCTGATATTACTACTACTACTGCTAATACTACTACCATTACATTGAATAATTCGGTTAATACTGTACAACCTTATTTTAGTTGTAATATGACTCAACGCGGTTTTCATCTTCGATTGCATTGTGATTTCCATGATTTTTCAATTAGTTTACTGGAGCATTGTCAACTTCATGTACATTTACCATCAGGTATTTTATAATTTTGTATTTTATGTTATATACTCTTATCAATAATGTTATTTTTCAAATAAAAAGTGTAGGGAATTTTCAGATTGTTACTCTTCGTACAATAATCGACAATAGAATAAATGGGTAACTCAATTAAAATCAGTGTTAGATTGCGTATAAACCAATCGTTGGTCACCGGATACCATGGGACTGCATCTCCTGACGTTGTTTCACTGCCTTGTGGATCAGACCTTTAGGTCGAAGGCTTGGATGTGGCCTCCTGAGAAAACCACCTGTTTCGGTTTGAGCAACCGGGCAGTATACCACCCCTCACACAAATCGAATGAATTATGTGGCGCATACCGATTTGATGCCTCGTACCAATGTTCATATGTTTAAATAATAAATATGCAAATAAGAACTGTCTCTTGTAAATCTAGCCGATTGTAATCTTGTTCTATTAATGGGAGACCAGTTATCTAAAAGATATATACTAGGAAATCGGACGACTATGAGATAGTGGAGAAGATTTGTAGCTCAGATGGATGATTTTGATGGAGTTTTGTTCTCTGAGGTGGATGGTTTGGTCGTGGAGCTTTCATAGTTCTTCTGAACGACATCATCAACACAGACTTCAGGTAGAAGTAAAGTATTCAAATTTGTTCACATGTAGTTCACAGCTTGTTCTGGACACCTCGATGTTGATTGGTTCTCGTTGACCTTTAACCTGTCATTGTTTACTTTTTTGTTTTGGTTGTATCTCCCAATGACTGGTTTGAGGTGAACAAGAACCGATCAACATCGAGGTGTACAGGACAAGCTGTGGACCACATGTGAACAGATTTGAATACTTCACTTCTACCTGAAGTTTGTGCTGATGATGTCGTTCAGAAGAACGATGGAAGCTCCACGACCAAATCACCCAACTCAGAGAACGAAACTCCACCAAAATGGACAACTTTTCTCTGCTTTTAGGTCATTCTCTTCCCAGTTTCATTGTATTATATTCCTTTTTATTCACTGTTTAATATAAAGTAACTGATATTTTCTAACTCATTTTCAGGTTTTTTCATTGATCCATATGAATTAACTTCTAGTCAACCGAACTTAAAATTTTCAATTAGTCTGTCGGAAATACAACCAAAATTACATGATACCATTAAACAATTCGTAAATTGGTTTACTTATTCTAAGTTGGAGAAGAAAAATACCGATCATTCCGATGAAAGTAAACAATTAATTATTCAGAATAATTTGGTTGATATTGAAGCTCCAGAATGGCTTGCTAAACCATTAACATTCAAATTTAATATTAATCAACTGGGGATAAATCAATCAATTAGTTATTTAGATTTACCTATTCATCTACGATATCAGTATGTTTTATTTATGTATTCATTTGTTAAATGAGTTCTGAGTGCATGTTATGTTCAGCAATAAACTTTATCGATTATTCTCAACCATCTAACATCTCAACATAAGACATATGATGTCGACTCATTTAAACTAATGGACACAATGAAACTTCATCAATAGAGTCCTATCGGCACGAACTGACTAGACAAACACAGCATAAGTCATTATTCAATGATCAATCATTCGTAAATACCTGTTCTACATTAAGTCAACCGTACCCCGAATAACTTAATGGTAATGTGTCAAACTGGCGAATTAGGTGACACGTGTTTGAATTCCATTAAAAGTATCAATTCCATCAATATTTCAGGTACTCTTAGCTAACAAGTGTCGATATAAAACCCAGGTCCAAATTTTCCTGCAACTGCCTCCCATCATTTAACATAAATAGTTCACAAATATCTGTTCGCTGTAATGCTGTTTAGTAGTATTCAGTTATAATTATGTCGTTATTAACGTGATGATTAGTGCGAATCACTAGTATCAGATTTGAGGTTGTCATCCTTTCTAATAATTGAGAATCATGCCTTGCACCATTTAAATTTCAGTCAAACATTCACAACATAATTCCTTTTTGATTATGTCCAGCCACTTTTATAAATACACCAACAATTCAAGCTTCTTATGGTTCCCTGTTTTTCTAGCTCCCCAAATGCCCTAGTACGGCCGAGAGTGGAGAGTCCGCTCTCCCTCTCGAAATGCTCTCACACGGCCACGCGTATATAGCCTCTGCCAGGGAAGTCCTACTCATTGCCTTCTCGTGGCGGGGGTTTTGTTTACGAAAATGAGAGGACGAAAAGCGCTTTAACCGGATCCCAAATCAATGGTGCACATGGGCTCCAGTATCCTGCAGGAACAAATGGCGTATGAGCCAATCGTTGGTCACCGGCTACCATGGAACTGCATCTCCTTACGATGCTCCACTGCCTTGTGGGTTAGACCTTTAGGTCAAAGGCTCGGGGTGTGGCCCCCTAAGAAAACCACCTGCTTCGCTCTGGGCAGCCGGGCAGTATCGCAGCCCACACGCAAATGATGAAGTTTCTATATCTATGGAAACTACTTTTCTCGCTTCGAATAACAATCAAGTGATTCCAATTATTATTATTATTATTATTATTATTATTATTATTATTATTATTATTATTATTATTATTATTATTATTATTTACCACATTATTCACCCTCTTTTATACTTATACAGCGGCTCGTCTCTGATGGAAATTCGACTGTATCTAAACGTTCTCGAGTCACTCTCCGGTTGAAAATTGTATGTTACCACTGAATATGAGTACTGAAGCAGTTTTTCTGAAACCACGTGCACCATTCAAACTGGCTGCCTTCAACTTTCGCACACTTATTCAGGAATGAGTCGATAGTTGTCCCTATCTTTAAAAAGGTTTCACGTCATTCCTGTAACAACTATCGGGGGATAAATCTACTTCCGATTGCGTCCAAGCTATTGGCTTCCGTCATACTTCGTAGGTTGTTCAAAACCCCAGAAATATTGACTGGCGAGGAGCAGGCTGGGTTTCGTTCTGGTCGAAGATGTATTGATCATATCTTTACCCTCCGCCGAATGTTAGAACACCGCCATACTTATTAAAGGCCAACAATCGTAGTGTTTCTTGACATCAGGGCTGCCTTCGATTCGTTGGACAGGACTGTTCTCTGGGATTGTCAATTGAAAAAGGGTGTGCCTGAGAAGTTTATGGACATCCTAAATGCCCTATATACAAACACCTCAGGCAGAGTGAGGGCATACAACCACCTCTCCATTGTTCCATTCGAGCATTGGGGTTAGTCAGGGTTGCCCAATCTCACCATTCCTCTTCAACTTTCCCATCGACGACATTCTGGAAACAGCTCTGATGGATGTAAGTAATGGTGGTGTGGATCTGTTGCCTGGAGAAAGACTTCTCGACCTTGAGTATGCGGACGATATTGTCTTACTGTGCGATAATGCCCAAGGCATGCAATCCGCACTTAATCAGTTGGCAATCAGTGTCTGTAGGTATGTTATGTGCTTTGCACCTTCGAAGTGCAAAGTATTTCTAACAGGACTGGCAGGATTCTAATCCTGTACTCACCCTGGATGGTGAGCAGATAGAAGTAGTCGAGAAGTTCGTGTATCTAGGTAGCTGCATAAGTGCTGGTGCGGGTGTGAGTGATGAGATCAATGCATGCATAGTGAAAGCCAGAGCGGCTTATGCCAATCTGGACCATCTTTGGCTCCTTCGTGACGTTATTCTGGCTGTAAAAGGTCGGATCTACAACACGTCGGTGAGAGCAGTTTTGCTCTATGCTTGTGAAACCTGGCCTCTCCTATTTGAGGATGTTAGACGACTCTCTGTGTTTGATCATCGTTGTCTCCGAAGGATTGCTGATATCCAGTGGCAACACCATGTTAGTAATGCAGAGGTTCGGCATCGTGTGTTCGGGCACAGAGACGATAATGCAATTGATGTCACCATCTTGAAACACCGACTTCGGTGGCTTTGACATGTTCTACGAATGTCGTCCCAGAGAATTCCTCGTCGTGCATTATTTGCCGACTCTGGGACTGGTTGGAAGAAGCGTAGAGGTGGTCAGTGCATGACATGGTGTCGTGGCATGAAGGAAAGCTGCAAAGGGCTGGCCTGTGTTGGTCTCTCATGACTCCCTGGTTGGGGTCCGAGAGATGGTGCGGCAGAGTGGCTAGAGACGTTATCAGATATGGCTCAGAATAGAAGCCAGTGGCGATCCTGCTGTAACCTTCTTTTACTTTCTTCATAAAAAAGTGGTTGTGCCTTCTTTAACTGAAAGATTTCTTCTGATTGTACCCTTCCGTTCCCTCATTATTACTTATATTATTACTACACTACCTTACACCAACTTCTTCGTTATTGTTCTCTTTTTTTCACGCTGCTTACCTTTTTTTCTTTCTTTTCGAATTCTCATTGTTTTGTGTGGCGCATATATATTGGCGCTCTCTTGTACCAATATTTATGTGTTCAAATAATAACAACTAGATGTCTTAAAATTTGTTGTTACTTGGTCATAAGGGTTTTTCGATAAGTCAAATCCCTGTAAGATCTGGTTGCAGGTTTAAACTGCTATGCAATTCTAGTAATATCACTTGGCATCATAGAAAGCTTTGGGCTCATAGGCGATTACTTCCTTATTGTTATGGATTAAAATTGTAGCATTTGACTAAAAAGTTTTCGATTATTAAAACAAACAAACAGAATACCTTTTAGTAGATGAAATCCAGCGGTGATTTCTCACGAGATTGAATTATCAACCCAAAACGTCAAAATGATTTGATATCAGAATCATTGTCGCTAACCAGTGAAGTAGGTTTTACTTCCGTAAAATTTCACACTTATGTATGAAATATTAAACAAAAAAATGAAAAATCATTAAAACCCGAACGACTGGGAGATACATACTTCACAGATCACTTAAATATCAGTGGAATGAAGATCTGACTATCAAGTCTTGTCCGATGATGAGTAAAAATAACTGTATATCTGTGATTGCTTGACACCATAAATTTACCAACATGTGTTCAGTAGTATTCACTTCTGTTATGCATCTTTATAGAAGGTAGGCTAATTAAACCGATTACATGTTATAGTGTGTATGCAAAATCCATATTATTCTTGATGTGATCCAATAAACATCCAAGATTTCATTTACTACACTTTGGTTTGTGCTTGTCGTCTAATAGCTGACACATTGTGTTTGACTGATTCAACCTCGGTGAAAGTGGACCTGACTTCGAACCGATTTCTCATTGTAATATCACTTCACGTTTATATTCAATCATTTAGCGTTTATAACTAGATTAACTCCTGTTCTATCTATCTCAGACTTTCATTATTTCTTTACTTTTTAGTCTCCCATCAACAAAAACTGATAACACTAATGATGATTCTATATATATTACTGAAATTGAACATCCTATACTCAATTGTCCAAAAGGCAATAATATCAGAAATATAAACAGTCAACAGTTTTTCTCTATCATTGTTCCTATACCTTTGTTATCTTACCTTGTATTTGTGATGCCTATTACAATTTTACTGTTAATTATGGGTGTGATATATCTCTTGATGGCCTAATCTGATTCTCATATATATATTCCTTATTTTTATGGTTGACTTCATACATAATTATTTTTTGTATATTTACATATCTTAAAAGAAACCGTTGCGTAAACAGCTTATTTTAATGATAAAAAAGTTATTTCATTTTTTATTCTATTTCTCACACATGTTTAGAGTTAATCTATATTGTTATTTGGTTCAAATTAATATAAAATCTATTTAAAACAATCAGTCTCTTTGATAGTTATTTAGATAATTCTATGGTAAGATGAAGGTTATCAGATGTGATATTTTTATGCAATGAATTCCGAACAATCTGATCATACATTATTGTTAGTTATGTTCATAACTAATCAATCAAATCGTTGTTTAAGCGCCCATCACGTCGATTTGATCTGATATATTTGTAGACTATCCCTGTTGCATGTAACTTGCCAATTGAAGGGGATTATTATCCTATTATATTAGTGTGACTCGTAATTTTTATTCATTTCGATAAAACAGGTGATACTGATCGGTATGTTTGTGCGTTCCAATTAACTACTATAATTACTTTAATTATTGTACTAATCAAATTGTTATTTCCACATTTAGAAACAGATAAGGTTTAAAGCCAAGTTGTCCTTGTTCTGACTATACCTTTCACATAGACTCTGAGGTCGCAAGTATTGCGTTCACAGTTCTAGTAGTATATCTGTAGGTCAAATGAAATCCTACGATACTTCGACCAGTAACTCATCAGAAATTCATACGTTAAATGTTGTTAATGTCTACGGAGAATCATAAAACTGAATTGTCTCCCCACTATTCAGAAACTCATACTGAAAACAACTACCGAATGGATCCCTTATTAGAGTACACTTAACTCAGACAAAGAGAAATTAGGTTGCAAAGATTACGTCACAAGGGAAGAGAACATAATAGACATTTTGTGGCTGACAAGGTGATGTACGAATCTACATCTTCCTTACGTGCAGTTGATGTTCCTCCTGGAAAGGACTGGATAACAATGATATCTAAATCTTTAGACCTACTAAAGTGAGAGATCATAAGGTTTGATGGTAATCTCATGAACTACTGGAGTTTCATACGGAATTTCGATGAGTGTTTGAAGTAGAACTATGCTAAACTACTTGGTTTAGTATTGTGATTGTAAAGCTAATGCTACTATTGTGTATTGCTCGAACCAGAAGAGAGAGCCTCTACCTAAAGACCTTTGCGAATTTGTGGGAGAGCAGTCGGGTGTTGCTAAAACCAGGTACTGATTACTTGTCGGTGGAGATCCCTCTAATCTCAACCAAAGGCAGTCGGCTGTTGTTACTAAAAGGAACCCTGATTCAAAGTATACGGCGGGAGTGTCGTTCGCTAACACGTGTGGGTCTGATGTCACACCACACGTAAGACCAAGCACTCTTAAGTTGTCATTTTTATTATGTACTGAAAACCACCGTTTAGACCAATATGAATGGTTTAGAGATAAGGATATCAATGATATGGTAGAGTTTGCTAAAGAAGTTTTGTAATGTCTATCTGAAGGCGAGCCACATATCATGAAACTGTCGAGCACCGAGGTCATATGCTGTCGAAGGAGACACCACACCTTTTTACACATGAAGCAGAAAGACACTAATAGTAATGGCCACATTAATACCCGACTCGATACGGAGAAAAGTGCTAAGCGTGTATGGAGACAAGTGGCATTTGCATTAATACCTGTAATGGTAAAAAACGGAGAAAGGGCGGTACAGACTTGCGTTTTACTAGATAGTGGCTCAGACGCTTCGTCTATTATAGAAGATCTAGCTAGAAGGAGGGTCCGAGGCGGTTTTAGTAGAAACGCTGGATAGCCAGTTCACATTTCATTGCAAAGAGGTTCAACCAGAAGTTTCCCCCTTAAATTATTCTTCGTCATCCAGAATTCCAAAGGTATGGATATAAGAGAGATTACCTATATTGCGTAGGACAGTACCGATGACATCTCAGACGGTATCGTGATCTCACTTGCACGGCGTGACCCTCCCAAGGGTTGTCAACATATTGATAGGGTGCATGTACGTGAGGCCATGGGACGAAAGAATAGAGACTGAGAAAATTATGGAACTGTACGCTACAAAGACTTGAGGGTGGATGCCGTTTATACCTTACCATGAGACCACGAAAAATATGAGTATCTTAAATTATCTATCGTCTAAAGTTGAACTAGAAGCTAGACTAGAGCAGTTATATAAGATGGGCTTTGAAGACGACCCGAATCACCGTGTGCTCATGTAGGTTGATGATCGTAAAGCCCTGGATGCTATGTCCAAATCCATACAGTTAGTAAACGAGGATTACCAAATAGATTTGCCCTAAAGTCACCAACACAGGATACTTAATAATCGAAAACTGGCGATGACTATATTAAATTCCCTGAGGAACCGGCTCATCTATGACCAGAGATTCCATAAGGATTATGTTAATGTGATGGTAGAGCATGGTGAACGGGGCTTCTCCGAAAAAACTATCGAGAATTTGATTAGTTGTCAGCTTTGGTATTTACCGCACCACAATGTCTTCCATCCGAAAAACCTAATAAGCTAAGAATCGTATTGGACTGTGCAGTTTAATAGACCGGGACGTCCCAGAATAAAATCTTGTATTCTGGTCCAGATTTGGTCAACAGTCTGATATATGTCTTCACCAGATTTCAGCAAAGGCATATAAGTCTCACAGCAGATATTGAAGAAGTGTTCCACCAAGTGTTTGTTCCGTTACAGGATCGTGATGCCCTTAGATAGAAGGGCAACGTTTGCCCTACAAAGAACTATACTGGCTATTGAGGACAGGTTTCCTGAATGTATTATAAAGACATCAAAGGAACAGTTCTGTGTCCACGATTTATTGACCAGTATTGATAAGTTAGAAGAAGCTAAATTAACATATTCTCAACTGAAGATGTTACGTTTAAGGGGTTTAAATCTAACCAAATGAACCAGCAACAATGTTGGATTAATGAAGTTTGTTCCAGAGGAAGACCGCATAGAAAGAACTGTAGACATCTGTTTATATTTGGAAAGAAACGGGATGACTCTACGAAAAGAGTGGGATGTTCGAACGTCTAAGACCTGCTTCGGAGTGCACGAATTCGAAACGACCCCTACGAGGAGAACTATTTTATCGCATGTAGTCTCGATATTCGGCCCAGTTGAGTTTATAACACTAGGTGTTTTACTAGCTAATTTAATTATGCAGGATACTTGCCCGAAAAATCTGGCGTAGAACGCAAAGTTTCCTAGGGAGTGCTTTATGAGATTGGACTGTCGGCACAGAGGTATGAGGTTCCTAAGTAAACTGTTGCTTCCCAGATGTCTCGTACCAGAATCTTACAAACCACTGGCTACTCACATTCAGTGCTTTGCCGGTGCCTCGAAATTTGTGTATGGTATTGTGGCGAATGCTCTTTTTGAAGATGTCTCCCGTCAAGTTAATTGCTCCATTCTACTAGCTTAGTCCAGGGTTGCCCCACTGAAACCTATAATCACTCCTAGAATGGAATTAACAGCTGCTGTACTATGTGCTAAGATTGGAAAACACATGGAACAAAAATTGCGTATCCCTATCTCTTCTATCACTTATTGGACGGATTCATTAATCGCACTTTATTGTATAAGAAACACAGCCAAACGTTTTGAGAGATTCGTAAGCAATAGATTAGCGACGACTCGCGAAATTTCTACGGTGATCCCATGTATATATGTTAAAAGTAAACAGAATTCTGTGGATTGCCGTTAGATGGTATCATTAAGCTAAATGAGTGATTTCACGGACCAAACGTTCCGTCCACAGTATGAGGGTGAGATTAGATAGAAGGCGGTTAGTTCTTGAAAGATTGAGACTGGAAGAAATTGGTAACGCGAAGTAGAATATAATTAAACTGATTCAAATGATCTAATTTCCCATAGAGATGGAGACACTAAGGCAAATACAGCATAAAGAAAAGCACAACAAAACATGTGAATCGCAAGAAAAACCGAGGAGAGTAGGTACATTTGTTTCAAAGAAGGAAATGACACTCCATGTAATGTCTGCTGGTAAGAAAATGAGAACTAGGCTATAGCTGCTATCAAAGGAGTCCTAAAACGGTGCTTCTTATGCAAGAGACTCAACAGTATGCCGGCACACAGATTATGGCTCCACTACCTGAATGTCTTCTGAAAGGTTTCGTACCACCATTCAATTATGTTGACACAGACTATCTTGGACCATTTTACGTTAAGAAGAGGCGAGTCGTTGAAAAACGATACGATTGTTTATCCGCTTGCCTGTTTGTTATGGCAGTTTGTACCAAAATGGCCCACACCTTGGATGCTGACTCGTTTTATGCTCTCTCTTGAGATTCGTTGGTAGGATGGGTCACCTAAAACATGTGTTTAGGAACGGTGGTTCGAACTTCAGAAGAGCCGACTCCAGTCTCAGAAAGATTGTGTGTAGTTGGGATCAGAACATTATAGCAAATGTTTTTTTGGAAGGAGGTTATGAATGGTACTTCAACACTGCGAGAGCTAATCAACGAGGCTGTGTATGTGAACGCATCATAACGTCAATAAGCGGGATTCTGCGATCATTCCCGTCACAGAAGGTATTGACGGATGAGTCTTTGAAGACGTTTTTGATAGAGGCCGAATGGATAATGAAAATTGGCCACTCTTAAGGTTAGTTAATAACGTGCATAAAACCAATGTGTAAATTATATTAGATAATAAACTAGCGTTGCTATGATGGGTTAATGGCAACAACAGATTTTTTTGAACACATAAAGGCGGTTTCAGTTCTCGTATAGTCAACGCTTCAATAAACATTAGTATACCCATCAAAAGACTTTTGCACAAAGCTACGTAGGGTTACTTGATATCAGCCTAATAAAATAAGGAAGAATTTGTATCTGATTCGGTTCTATATTAATATGAAGGCTTCTTTTCAGATGAAGAAACCACTTCGACTACAGACTCGTTCTGACAAGTCGGAGTCAAATTTTCCTGGCTGTTAGGCTACTGTTAATTATGTATCAGAGACATTAATGCGGTAAACCTAATGTCTGGCAGTAGTGCAACGGTTTGCACCTCAGCTGAGATCTTTCTTACTAAAATCTGAGAATTTAACCGAAATTAAAGACTGACACACCGTTGTCGATAACAAACTTAATGGAAATTTCTGGTTTGAAACTAGTCCTTTTTGGTGGCCTAGCAC